TTAACTGGTCCTCTGGGCGAGCACTGCCAGGGTGACTTCTGAGCATAGAACCAAAAATAGCTCCTGAGCACTGCTCAGTGTGGCCCCAAAACAAAACAAACTGACTTGTATACTCTTCTCTGTGCTTCTCTATATTATTCAATTTTTAATCACTTTATACAATCAAGTAAGAAAGCACTTAAAATATGGCAAATGGATTCAGAAAACATTCTATACAGTTACATAATGCATTAAAACATTCACAGTCTAAATAACCGTTAATTAGGAGATTAGTATGTAAAATAAATCACACCAATATGTGAACTAATACTCAGTTCATAAAGATCTTATTTTCCAAGAATAGCTGTGATACAATACTTCCCTTAAACCAGATCATAAAATTCTCATCCAAATAAATGACAAGGGGAGGATGAAAGTAAGAGAACAACCCGTATCAGGAAACATACAAACAAGATTCCAAAAAAACCACTCGAAGACAGCTGGAGCGATAGCACAGCGGGTAGGGCGTTTGCCTTACAAGCGGCCAACATGGCCGACCCGAGTTCGATTCCTCCGCCCCTCTCAGAGAGCCCGGCAAGCTACCGAGAGTATTCGATATGCCAGACACAGTAACAACAATGTCTCCAATGGAGACGTTACTGGGCCCGCTCGAGCAAATCAACAAACAAAAAATAGCTTCATGGAAAGTTAGCGCTTTACCAGGAAGCTACAACTAGGATAAGAAACCTTTTGATAATCAGTTAGTTGCACAGCTTGGAAAGGGAAGACCAAACCCAACAGCGGGGTATAGAGATGCCAGAGAAACTGATCAGCCACAGGCCCCAGGGAGGTTTGCTCAAAAGTGAACTGATGACAAGGAAGGAAAAGCAGGTGAGACTCTGCATAACCCCCAAATCAGGCTTGGGGTGTGTAAACTGCATATTTACACCTAGAACAACGCAGGAAGGAAATGAGAACAATATTGAAAAGGTTGATTGGGTGTGGGAGACCGCTCATTCTTGTCTCTTTCCCCTTTCTATATTTTTCCATCATGAACACACTCTTTTACAATGGAAAAAGAATAAAGCCCGTGTTGGGAGAGAAGGCAAGGCCCACTCAGAGCGGAATGATCCCTGCGTTCCACCATATGCACTGCTCTCAGCTCAAAGGAGCCCGCCAGCAGCATGCAGCTGGGACCGGAGGCTGCGCGCAATCTACACGTGGAGCTGGAGTCTGCAGCCGTCTTTCAGAGCGGGCCAGATTTTCCTCTTGGGCAGGCCAGCAAGGGGATTTATAGGCCCAGGGGGATCCAGACATCTGTGCCCCAGTCTACGTCCCCATCAGAAGCAGACAGAGCACCATGCAGTCGGCGGTCCCTCTCCGGCTTCCACAAATGCTGCCTTTGTGCTGGGGCCCTAGCCCCCAATCCGTATGAGGCCCCAGGGAGGCAAGGGAACAAATTGTGCAGTGTCTTGCTGGACTGCTGCTGCGTGGACCACTCTCAACCGTAACTGGGCTTTAACCTTTGTAGAAGGGGCTGCCGGTCCCCAGCTCTCCTGGTATCCTCCTGGGTAACCTGTGGCCTCCCAAGGAGTCAGAGGAAGGACTGCTGAGTCTTCCATTATTGGTGAGAGCATCCTGTTTGGCCACTTGGATTTAAGTCCTCTCTTCTCCTGTAATAAAAGAAACCCTGTGGAGAGCCATAGCTAGATATCCAAAGGGCCAGAGTTGTCTTTAAGGGGACAGGGACAAAGTAGTGCGGCAGAAAACCAAGCTGCCTATTTGTAGTTTTGAAAAGCACAAATAACACACACATGAATGACTACTGAGAGGGCTGGGGCTGCCCCTCCACTCCTCAGTCTCAAGTGGAGGACTAGAAGGGGCAGCAAGACCACCGCAGACAACATCGAAAGGATGGGGAGCTATCTGAGTGTCCCTTCGGGGTTCTCCTTTCTCATTCAGCCTCCTCTCAGGTGACATTTGCATGCTAGCCCATTCTAGCTGTAAGGTAAGCAATCAAGTTACAGGGCACTTACTGGGGTGCCAGGCATTCTGAGGAACTTGTTCTGCATATGCCAAGGTGAGAGGTAAGGGTGTGGTGGGAATGACTCCTCCAGGCTCTGCAGATTCCCATGCAAACATTCTGCATCCAACTGCAGGAGCATATTGGCATTTGATGACCCTCTCCCCCAGAGACACACTCAAAACATAAGCACATTGCTCCAGCTCTCTCTGAGTCTATATTGTAAAAACATTATGAATAACAAGTTCTCCTTCGTTGTTTCTGTCCGACAACTGAAACCTGGCATGAGTGATTTCTTATGACTTTTTCACAAAAGCAAATTCAAATTATTTGACCAAAGAAACTCTTGAGGTTTTCAGAAGCCTATTTCAATAAGCCAGACCTCTCTCTTGGAACTGACTTTTCTGTCCTTTCTTAGACGCAGACTGCTGGAATTCAAACCTGGCTGGATTTCTTTCTGCCTCCGTTCTCTAACTCAAAGGAAAATTCCAAGGTGATCTGATTATTTCCTACAGTGTTCCCAGTGGAGGGGAGAAAGAGGTGAAAGAAAGAGAGGCTGCCAGGGAAGGCAAAAGGAAAGATTCTGAACTCCTGACAATGGCGGATCTTAACGTGATATGCAGCCAGGGCTGGATTGTGGTGGGAGGTATAGACAGAACTTTCTCTAGATGCAGGGCCTTTCTTCAGATGCGGGCCAGCAGGTCACGCAAGGCAATGGCAGTGAGGTGGACTGTATGCTGGGGAGGACACATAGGAGAGGTAGGGACCCTCAGAGGGGACAGCTGACTGGCTGTTCAGGTTCAGCGCATCACTGCCATGTGCGAACACTGACCCAGAACCATCTTGACATTCCTACATGACGGTTTCAAATGTTAGCTAAAACACGCAGCCGGCAAAATAGAACTGGAGAGCCAGATGAACCAACCAGAAGGCAACTCCATCTAGATGCAGCAGGATTAGAGCAGGGAGCTGGGTCTGGAGGAAAGCCCACTCCATGATGGGGGATGTGTGAGGGTCTCCCCGAGACAGAAGGCAACTGTCAGAGGATAGACATAGGACGGGATGGCTGGCCTTGGAACCAAGCCTGGTTGTCTTACAACCATGGGAGGAAACATGGGCACTGGGATGGAAAGGAAAGGGTCAAATGGCAGTAGGCAGACTAAGGAATTTTCAAAAAGCAGAACTCAGCAAAAGACCAGATGTGCAGGACCAGGGCGGTGATGAATCTTCCAGGGGAAGCCTGCAATGAACTTGGCCAGAGGGCTCAGGGACTGGTCATGGGGGAGAAAAGGTAAACACATTTTTCTTCACTAGCTTCAAAGTCCTTCATCTGTTCCCCCAGATGATTTTTTTTCTCTTCTCTATCTCCCCCCCCCCCACCCCCAGATAAAGGGAATCAGGGAAGAACCAAATGTCCAGAGGCCTCAGCACTGGGAGAAACAGAATTGATCCTATAGCCAATCAGGTGATGTGGTCTACATTTAGAAGAAACTGAGCAGGATTAACAGAGGTGCGGACGGGGAGAGGAAAGCACTGAAGAGGCACAGCTCTAGAATAGTGACAGGACAGCATGGGCCATGTGGTGTCACGGGGTCTTGGCTGAACAGGGCGGAAGCAAGAACATGAGGTGGGCCAAGGGAGAGGCGCAAACATTTCTCAGATATCTTTATAGCATGGGTTCTCATCCACATTTTTCTAAATGGTTCAGAAAGCTAAGACACCACGATCTCTAAGTAGAAACATTCAAAACAAATGAAAATTAGCGACCTCAAAACTATCCAAGAGGGAGAAAAGTCATTTGTTTGTTTGTTTGTTTGTTTTTTGACTTTTTACGGCATGACTCTTGTGGGCCTCAGCCTGAAAGAGGATCTTTTTATGATATCAAGTTGGATCCAAATCCTTGGACAAATAACAATGCTCACTTTAGGAGATAAACTGTATTACAAGCTTGGGAATATCTGTGGCACATGTTCACCAGATCATTATGATAACAGTCAGTCTTTACTGCACAGCTAATTAGTAAATTAGCAGTTGCTAACTAAGGGCCAAGGTGCTTAGGCTTGGTTCTTTCCCATGCTATCCTGTACATCTTTACAGTGATTTGATAAAGGCACAACTGGCATCATTTCTAGTTTATCCATTAGGTAGAAAAGCAAGACCTACAGATGTTAACTTACTTGCCCAAGGTGACAAAGTCTTTGAAGGAGCTGAGGTCAGAACAAAGATAATTCACTCTGGGGCCCTTATTCTAAGCCCAACGTCAGCAAACATTTTCTATAAAGGTCCAGATAGTAAATCTTTTGACCCTGATCAGCCAATATGACTGTATTAGAAGGGCTGAACTCTGTCATTGCAATGCAAAAGCAGCCACAGACCACACAGCAGCAGTTGGGGCCAGGCTATGTTCTATCAAAGCCTGACTGATGAACACTGCGATCTGAATTTCATATCATTTTCAACATGTTATGAAACAGCCTCTCTTTTCTCTTCTCTCTCTTCTCTTCTCTTCTCTTCTCTTCTCTTCTCTTCTCTTCTCTTCTCTTTCTGTCTCTGTCTCTGTCTCTGTCTCTCTCTCTCTCTCTCTCTCTCTCTCATCTAAAAAAGTAAAAACTTTCACTCCGTGGCCAGAAGGAAAGAGGCTGAATTTTTTCCCTGCACACTGTGGTTCTGCTTACTCAGGCTTACCCGGGTGCTAGATTCCTTAGGTTAGATATCTTAGAACATGACCCTAAATGTGAACTTAGAGGGGGGCACAGGATTCTGAAGTAGGTGATGAGAAGGGACCCAGTAGATGAGATTTCTTGAGTAATCCTTCCAAGGACTCCACATGACCCCATTTTAAGACTGAAAAACAGCTTTGCCTTATGGCCCCTCATGTGTTCTCCACAATCAAAGCTGATGTGTATTCAAGTTCATCTGAAACCGAGGCAGGCTCAAATATAACAAATCATCCCCTGGACACAGCACGGTTTCTCCAAACATGCAGCAGCCTTCTTACCTGCAAGGTCTGACCGAAGCGCTTCAGTGGTGTGGCCTTCACAGGGGGGATGAGGTTTGCAAGCGATGTAACTCTGGAAAGGGGTTTTACCCGTTTGTTACTGGGCTCCTGGAGGATTTAAAAAAGAAAAAAAATGTCAAGGTCAATTACAAAGACAAAGTCACTCCACTACACAATCGGGCCCCACTCCACAGGCTACTAGTTCTGCTAGTTCTGCATTCTCTCTCACTCCAGTTGTTGGCCATGGTGCAGGGGGCAAGGAAGGAGCCATGGGTGGGGGGTGTCAACACAAGACTCCAAGAAAGCAGCAAGTAGGCAGCCACCAGCTCCCATGCCCCAATATCCCATGCCCCAAAAAAACCGACATGTAACTTGGAAGCCTCCACTTTGTAGAGTCTATAGCAAACTCAGATTCAACCCCTGATGTAGCAAAACGCTGTCTGGGATCTTCTGTCTAATGACCTTGCCAGACAGTCTTTGGAGGCTTTTGGCTTCATCTTTTGAAAACCTTTCTCCTCCCTGAGCCTGCAGCTTCTTTCCGCATACATTTTATACAAAGGCTTTCCTAAGGCACAAAGAATCTTGGTTTTATACTTCACTAAATATCTTTTTAATTGTAAAAAAAAGAATTCTTCTATTACTATAGTCTTAAGAAAGCATTATTGTATCTACAGTACACTTGAAGCGTCCATATTAGCATTTATAAATAGCAATTCAGCAGAAAAAGGAAACATATACAAAAAAAAAAAACCTACATGGGTGTTCACTTTTATCCTACAGATAACCACGATTTTGAAAATCATCTCTACATAAAACAGACTTGGCAGATCTGCAAATTACCCCAGACCCAGCTGATGAGTGGGAAATTATGCATTTCCAATGCCTTTGCAGAGGAGAATTACATAAATAAAAACAATACAGCGTGGGAAAGAAAGGGGAAAGACAAAACACTTGACAAAGAGAATAGTTACCCTGCTCTTCCTAAGCTCCATCTGACCTGCAGTAGATGCTGGACAGCACAAGAAGACACCAGATTTTGATGGGAAAAGCCAAACATGCCAATTGTGGTGAACTTCAATCATTTCAAGAGGGAGCCCTCCAGAAGATCATCTTTCTTTTTCAGCCATTGCTTTCAAAGTTTTGAGGGTTAAGCCAGAAGCTCACATTCTCCAGAACATCCCCACGAGGTGTTTTGACCATAGTAGGTACTTGGAAAAATCTTCCTTGAAACCTTGATCACTGTCAAGAAACTTTCATATCATTTTATGCCCTTGCCAGCCTCAGAAACAAGAAGTCTTCTTTGAAATAGATCCCTCCTTTTTTCCATTTAAAGAGACAACCAAAAAGGATAAAAGGTACCAAAAAAGAGGGGGAAAAAATCCCAAATCTCAAAAAAAAAAAAAAAAAACAACAATAACACACACCAAAAACACAATTCACAATGTGGCCAGGAGTGAGTTCACAATTTCTCAGTGCTGTGAAAAGCCCTTTCTAAGTAGAGAACAAATCCGGACTGCTGGGTATCTCTCCAGTTTCTTGGCAAGCCGAGCTGAACCGATAGCATGAAACCCTCCAAGCACTGTGGAAGGCTCTGTTCAAAACAAAAAGGATGAATCTCTCAACATGAGAGACTTAGAATTACAAAGACTGCAGTGCTGAAGAGAAAGCTCCAACAGCTCTTTGGTGTCCAGGTGGTGGTACCCTTCAGGATGTTCCTGTTCAGTGCCTGGCTCCTGAGCATCTGTGCCCAGAAGGAGAATTTCTGAAACGTCAGAGCTGCACCATCAGCATACTGAACACACACACACACACACACACACACACACACAGCCTCTTGAGCCTTCTAAATTTCTCAAAATGGCCCCTGTTTGGGGCTAAAAATGCCAAAGTTGTGATATAATCACCTTTGGTGGCACAAACTGCATTGCAGCCAGTAAGATTTCCTGGGGGAAGCAAAAAAGGTTTCAGATAATCCTGCACGCACCTCAGAGCCCAGAGACTCCTCTGTTTCTGTTTGAGCATGCTGGCGCTGCTGGGTCATAGATTCTCTTTCAGAATGGGGAGACAGAAAGGGCAAATGCCAATTGGGTTCTCTTGTTTTAAAAGGGGGCAGGGAGCATTGCACACTTGGCAGGCTGGGGGAAGATTCAACATTCCCCTTGCTGTGTCATCTTTTCTAAGGTTCTGCTGACTTTGCTGTCCATTTCACATGACCCAGACACACCAGGATTTTCTGCCGAGTTACAAGATGTATGCATAACGCAGACCCCTCCAGCCCTCCACAGGTCGAACCCAGTGCTGTTACATGAGATGGTAATTAAAACTCCTTCCTAAGGCATTGCTCATTGGGAAGTAAACATTACGCTGCTCTCCGGCAACTGACTTTTCCAAATAATGAGCAATCAAACTAGAAACAATTGTTGTTAACCTACAGTAATTGTTGTGAACCCGTGATCTAGAAAAGCAGGCTGGTACAATTTCAAAACCAGAACTACCTACAGGGTTTTGCATCTATGAAAGTTTCATGCCTGATCCACACAAGCAAAGAATGAATTGTGTAGATCTTGTGGGCTTCAGTGAGAATCAGTGGCCTAATTTGATTTTTCTTTTTCATTTACTCAGTATGTCTCCACTACGTTTTACTATTGCCTACAAAGAGCCCTTGGGGAAAATGTTTCCAGATTCTAGTTAAATAGCTCTATGGAGAACTGGCAAATGAAATAGTAGGGATGCTTTCAGGTTTTACAGAGAGATGAAAGAACCAAACCTGCAGAAGCTTCCTAGTCTAACTCCTCAGCTGCCACACAGAACTGAGCAAGGTCAATGCTAAGTCCAGCAACAACTTGCCCTGTTTCAAGTACACACACCCCCCGACCATGCAATTTCAAGACAGGGCAGAGGGCACCTCTAATAGAGCTGTTTAAAAGAAAAAAAGAAAAAGGCAAGTATTGCATATGCTATCTAGGCAGTATGTTCTGAATAACATCAGTTTTGTTTGATCTTTTCTTAACAGCCTCGCTTTCTTGTCTTACTGCACCAGCTAAGACCACCTATGCATGGTTGATTATAAGCTGAGAGAGTACACTAGTTTAATTCCTGATTCTACAATGATGGCGGCAGGTGGGAGGGCATGCCTAGAAGTTTCAGAAATTATCCTGGCTCTGCACTCAAAGATCACCACATGCAGTGCCAGGGATCAGATCCAGGTCAGCTGCATGCAAAGCAAGAGCCTTACCCACTGTTATATCCCTCTAGCCCTGCTAAAGTAATTATTATGAAGAGCTGTCAGTAAGTATTGTGTTTGATGACAGCATAAATGAGATACCCGCTATCGAGCAGAGGAAGTACCCTTCTTTACCAAGTTTGCTGTGAATTTTTTTGTTTGTTTGTTTGCTTGCTTTGTTTCAGTTTTGATCCACACCTGGTAATGGTAAGGGCTTATTCCTGGCTCTGTGCTCAGGGATCACTCCTAGCTGGGCTCAAGGGACCATAGAGGGACTATGCCAGTGATTGAACCCAGGTTGGCTGTATGCAAGGCAAGAGCTTTATCTGCTGTATTATCTCTCCAGTCCCCAGTTTGCTATGAACTTTTATTACAAATGAATATTGACTTTCATCAAATTTCTTCTTTGTCTTGACAGAGTAGTTGAGTTCAATGCATTTTCATTTTTGAAAAATAATTCGTACTTGTTGCAAAGCACCCCCCCCCCCTTAAGGCACCATGATTTACCAAGTTACTCATAACTGAATTTCAAACATACAATGTTCCAACACCAATTCTACCACCGATGTCAGTTTCCCTCTACCAGTGTCCCTAGGTTCCCTCCCACCAGCCTTCCCTGCTCCCAGCCAGCCTCCTTGACAGGCACATTCTTAAGTTTGATTTTGTAGTTCGGATCTTATGTTTACAGAATTGCTGGCTCTGTGTTTTAGAAGTATACATAAACCACCTCTCTATCCCAGCAATGTGCAATGTGCTGTGGCCCCTGACCCCTACCCTTATTACATCCCATCTCCTTCTTCTTACTCTCCCACTCAATTCCTTTCTTTCTCTGTTGCAGGGACTCTTGCCAGTGGTTTTTCCATATTTACTTTTCTAGTCTTCCTAAAATCCCTACAGAGTATTATCTATTATGAGCCTCATTTTAAAGATGGGAAAACTGAAGGACAGAGTGAGCCACGATGCTTAAATTTACTCAGGTGAAATGTGTCTAGGATTTACACCTAACAGAGTTCTTCACTAGAGCCTGCAAACCTTTTCTATATGGGAACCAGATGGCAAATATTTCAGCTTAATAGACCATTCAGACGCTTTTCTCATGACTATCAGTTATGTCATCAGCCATAAGCAGTAAATAAATAGATGAGCATGGCTATCTGTCTCTAAACAATGTGACAAAAACTTAAAATATAATTTTCATATGTCACAAAATATTCCCTTCTGTATTTTTAAATTGAAATAAAAATTTAAAAATATAATTAAAAATTTAAATATATTAAATATAATTAAATTTTGAGTATAATTAAAATTTTAAATATAATTTTCATATGTCAAAAAAAATTATCTTCCTTCTGTATGTTTTTGAATCACTGAAAAATATAGAAACCACTCTCTGTTATGGTCTAGCAGAAGTGGCTCAGGGGCCATACTTTGCAGACCACTGTTCTGTTCTCCTGCTGGCCCTACGGGGCTCAGGTCCTGGATCAGTTTTCTACTATGACATATACAAAGATGACACTCACAGGCATGATCTCCTCCCACAGCACACTTAGTCTTTAGGCTCTGGCAGGTGGCACAGTCTTGGCTTATCATCTCCCTGGTAGTGGATATATAAATCCTCCCCTGGTGAGGATATATGTAGGTTACCTTTTAAGAGGAAACTCTACCTCACTGTTTTTTATTCTTTTAACTTCTAAAAAATCAGCCTGAACAAATATTAGCCTGAATATAATACAAACAGTACCTGATCATTAATATATACAAATAAGAAACATTAAAAAAGAGATGGGGTGCGGGGTGGGGGCCGGGGGAATGCCAAAGCCACATGGGATTGGAGAGAGGGGATGAGTCAGAACTGGATGGATCACAAGTTGGTTAAAGTCAAAGTAGGGGCAGGGGAAATGAACTTCAATGTGCAGTTCTACCCACAGAACATGACCAAAATCTCCATCATAAAAAGACTTGTTTTAATGAACTGAAAATTGTTCTTGCAAATGCACCAGTGCCTGTGAAACTGAATTGGCCATTGATATTTGAGTCGTTTACTTCAGTTGTTAATGAGGGTCTAGTGAGACAGCCTCTAGAACAGATGCAATTAGATAAAAAAATCTGGTTTAAAAAAATCCCATTACTAAAATTACAAAATCCTCATAATTCCCAATGAATCAAGACCAGTACAGAGAAAGATTCACATAGATGGTATCCAAAGGTGGGAGAGTGACTCAGAAACATTTAAGCATACAGAGAGGCACAACCAGGGTCCAGAATCTATGAAGTCTGTTTATTCCATGGATGGTCTTGTACATTTGCTGGTTTGTTTTGTTCTTACTAAGATATGAAACCCATCAACAGGCTCCTGATCACTGAACTCTGACATAAAAAAAAAATCTGTCAGACTTCAACTCTGATTCATGCCAGAAACTGTACATAGAACACACGGCCACTCAAGGTTAGATTTCCAAGGACAGGAGTCCTTTCTTTATTTCTTTATTTCTTTTCACTTATGAAAGACTGCTAAGCTATCTGAGACTATGCTCCAAATGCATGCTTTTCTTTCTATTTCTACAATGACACTGTCCCCTCCTGGGATGGCTTAGACCTCCAGTCCTTGCTAGATTCTCATTTCCACTCTGCTTCTTGCAAGAAAAGGAAATAGAAAGCTCAGTATTGAAAATTGCCTTCACTTTACACCACTTCCTTTGGACCGAGCAACAGTTCACATGGTTCTAGTTCATGTCTGAGATTCTCATCCTCAAAACCTCTAGGTCACCACAAGTATTATTGTATTCTCAGTTCCTTTGGAAAAACCTAGTATCAAGTCCATCCCACCCTGTTGGGGTCTCTTACTTACTTACCAGTCTATTAATTTTTGACGTGCTTCTTCTTCCTTCCACACTATAGCTTTACTACAAATGGTCCCACCCTTCGCTTTTAGGGGGAACTGACAGTTTGCTTTGTATCTTGCCCCTCAAAGAATCCTGTAGATTCTCTTTCCTGGTTAATGTTTTTCTAATGAAATAGTTAAGAATAAGACTTACTTAAAAAATGAATCTTGGGGCTGGGGAGATGGCTCAAGTAGCATT